ATCAAAAAGGCCGCAAGAAATTGTATTAATTTATTTTGTGTTCAATAATTCATGTAAGATGATTTTGACATTTATATTTCATCCATGACATATCATTGCCACATTACACGTTTTTTAACAGAATTCGAACCGCTTAAAATAGATAATCGTATCATAAAATACTATATCAGTGAAAACATTTTAATAATATTTTTTTTTAGAAAATGGCCCTTCTTTGGAATGATTTTATTGATTTTAAAATGTTTTATATTTTTTATGAACGTAATTAATATGGCTATTAAAATTTTTATTTGATTTAAGTGTATTAATCAATTCCTTATTTTTATTTTTTTTCACATTACCGCGGCTAATTTCCCCAGTGAATTGTCCGTCCTATGCATAATATTTTACAACTGATAATTATAGCACCATAATTGATAGTATGTGGTTTAGAGTACTTTATATTAGGGTCCGTTTGATTGTAAGGGTGGAGAATGAGTGGAAAAAAAATGATTTTTAGGAAAAGTAATTGCTTAGAAATTGTTTTGTAGGGAATTGTTAATTAAGTGTGTTTAATTGGTATAATTTTCCACCCAAAAAATTTTAGTGCACTTTTCTATTCGTTTGATTTTGTTTTATATGGAAATTGTTCATTAAAGTGATAATTTTTTTCACAATTTGTTATAAAATTTGTTTCCATTGCCAAAAAGTAAAAAAAGAAAATTGTTTCCTGAAAAATCATTTTTTCATCAAAGTTTAGTATTCGTTTGACTTTGTTTTACATGGAAATTATCCATTAAAGTGATTTTTTTTTTTTTTACAATTGGTTAGACATTTGTTTCTATTGCCCAGAAAAAAATAAATAAATAAATAAATTCAGCAGCTAAATGGTGGGAAAAAATTTTCAACAAAAACCCGGAAAATAGGGAGGGTAGGGAAAATATTTTCCGTAGAAAATTTCACCTATCAAACAGTCAAAAAAGTGGAAAATGAAAAATATTTTCCTAGTTCCATAAAAAATTCCGCCAATCAAACGGGGCATTATTATACTTATTTTATCTCCCTTCCTGTTGGCATTTGAGTAATGGGAATAACAGCAAAAAATCTAAAAATGAATTTTGGAGGTAATATATTTCACAGAGAGTGAAAGCAGTAGGGACATGGAAATTAAGTTAAAAAAAAAAAAAAATTCTCGCAGAGAGATAAAAAGGGGCACGTGCGGAGCATGATATCTATGTGGAATCATGCTACAAGTACATAATCATTTACATAATACATTACCTAATTGACATGTGGCGCGCATCCATCGGTATTCTACAATTTTTGACTTTTCCACACTTCACATCCACGGCCGAATTTATTCCACATGGGCATATGTAATCTATTATGTACAATAATTATGTACATATAGTGCTTGTTTGGTAAGAATTTTTGGGGGAAGAATTGATTTTTGAATAGTGATATAATGGGAAATGTGTGGTTGAAAAAGAAGAAAAAATTATTGATGTAATATAAGAATGTGTGGTTGAAAATGAGAATTGATTTGCTGTAGAATTTGAGAATCATAAACAAACAGGCCCATATATAATATATTTATCTCATCTCTGTGACTTCCCCTACACGTGCAGCCACGTTGGTAGTGTAGGCTTACATGGGTGTTGACGCACGTGTGAGAAGCATCAAAGAAAGACCGTCCGATTGGAGAATTATAACTTTGATTCCAATTTCCAGCTAATTGGAATTTTGACCACAGCTAGAGTTTGTGTTAACATATTCAAGTCTCTCACATGATGGCACGGCACCAAATTACTTCCTCAACTTCGTCACGTGCTTAGTTGGACCCCACGAACAAAGATGAAAAGAAATTATTTAAAAATAAGTTCATTATTTATGAAAACGATCTAACACCTATCTTTTTAACTTTATATTATTTTTAAAGCATATCGATAAAAATCAAAAAGTTATAGGAGAGAAAGTGTACAAATGATTAAACTTACTCGACCAATCGAGTATATATTCTGAATCAACGCGTTGAACATGTTCTTGAAGTTAAACCATAGTATAAAGTTATAACATCATTAAGGGTAATTAGGAATTTAATGTCCAATTTTGTCGAGGGCCATATTCCCCTAACATCGGGATTTAATAGAATTACTTTTTCTTGCTTTCTCTCTTGTTCTAGAATTTACCATTAATAGCTATTATTGTGTGGATTGAAATCTTTTGAGCATCTCTTATGTTGTAATAATCAATAAAAAACATGTGGTGTAAATAGATAACATGATAGGTTATGGTACTAAATTTGAACATATAAATGTCACCTTTTATTTGATTTCTTATTTTTTCCCTCCAATTTAGGTTAAACACCACAAGTATGGTACATATCAATTCCAAAAAAAGGTACAAAGAAGATCAGTTTAGTCGAAGTTGATGAACGTTTAACATGTCTTCATTAGATCAACCCAAATAACTTGATAATGGCACTGATCACTTGATAATGTAAAAATTATTTAAAGATAAAATCAAATTAAGGCCTTGTCTGGTTTGGATTTTCTTTCTTCCACAATTGATTTTCCTATCGTTTTCTTTTGATCGTTTCTCACAAAAGCTCAGCTGCAATTATGGAAATCTGACCGTTGCTGGGCTCCAACGGATATATTCTTGCTATTAATTGAAAAAAAAAAAGCTCCAGACAGCTTCTAAAACAATCAAAATTATCTTTGAACCACTTTGTGAGAGATTGTCATCTGTTGTTGTAACACAAAGTTATACGAGTAGAATTATTCTTGATTGTAACAGGGTGATCGACAATGAAAGTGAAGGTACGAAACATATCCCACTCTTACAGAAGTATAAAAAGGAGAATTTATTTACAATTTTGTCAAAGTAACTCCATCGAGGACAATATATAAAATCAATTCTTTAAATCCCATGTGACAATGAAAGTAATTCTAACAAGTACACGTGCCACGTGGCACTCATCATGACCGTCATAGTTCACGCCAAGCTGTAGCCGTCGTGCTTCAAAGTGGGTTAAGGAATATAATAACATGGTAATATAAGGTAAAACTTGAAAGGGAGTAGCTAATAATGGAATTTAAAATTAATGGGGAGGCAAACATAAATAAATTAAATTAAGGGGACAAAAGCGCAAGTCCCCAAGGCAAAATAATTAGAGAGAGAAAATAGCAGGGGAATCCGGCTGTAAACTTGGACGCTAATGGAGGAGTCACGGCGACAGAACCTGCTACATCGATTCTTTTAAGTAATTATAATTACTAATTATCTCTTTTAATTTCAACTTGTTACTTATAATTATTCCCTCTACGAGACGATATAATTTCGTCAATTCATGTGACATAATCGTCAGTATCTTCTCGTCCAATAAAATTAAGATGCATTTATATTTATTGAATAATGTAATAGCACCTCGGTTAAGGATCTATTTGGGCCAGATTAAAATCTGATTTTAATTTAAGTCAAAGTCAAACAATCAATACTAATCACATCTTTTATGGGTCCCACACCTTTTCAACAACACATTTCAAAAACTTCTATCACAATCAACTAAAAATAAAATTTTAATCCCGATCAAACACCCTCTAAATAAACTATTAGTGAATACCAATACTTGTTAGCAACATTATTCTAATTAATAAGTACTTAAAAATTGAGTTATAAGTATGTTTGGTAAATTATTGTTATATGTAAAATGAGAATCCCAATGTTTGAGGATGTATTTGCAATCTAAATAAAGAAACCAATTATTAAAAGAAGGGTCTTTGACATGGAAAAAAGAAAAGTGAGTGGCTTTTCTTGTGAATCAATTTTGCTTTTATCACACCACCCAACTCCAAAAAAAGACGAATATAGTAATTACGTTTTTATTTATCAATATAATTTTTGAAGAATTTCAATTTTATCGTTTAAATTTCGAATATAACAATGAACAGAATTGAACCAACGAGGTTTTATTCAATGGTCTGATCAGGGACGGATAGAGAGGGGTACAGTCCCCACCCCTCCCCCCAATTAAATTTTTTTAGTTAGAAAAAAAATTTTATGTACAAAAAAAAAATCACATGTAATTTTTTCATTACGCATTTTAAAACACTGCTAAAAATATAATTTTAATCCCGACCAAATACCCTCTAAATAAACTGGTAGTGAATACCAATACTTGTTGGCAACATTATACCAATTAATAAGTACTTAAAAATTGAGTTATAAGTATGTTTGGTAAATTATTGTTATATGTAAAATGAGAATCCCAATGTTTGAGGATGTATTTGCAATCTAAATAAAGAAACCAATTATAAAAAGAAGGGTCTTTGACATGAAAAAAAGAAAAGTGAGTGGCTTTTCTTGTGAATCAATTTTGCTTTTATCACACTATCCAACTCCAAAAAAAGACGAATATAGTAATTACGTTTTTATTTATCAATATAATTTTTGAAGAATTTCAATTTTATCGTTTAAATTTCGAATATAACAACGAACAGAATTGAACCAACGAGGTTTTATTTAATGGTCTGATCAGGGACGGATAGAGAGGGGGGACAGTCCCCACCCCTCCCCCCAACTAAATTTTTTTAGTTAGAAAAAAAATTTTATGTAAAAAAAAAAAAAATCACATGTAATTTTTTTTTTACGTATTAGCTGGTCTGTAATTCGATTCTGAATCCGTCCCTGAGTATGATGTTTAAACTTATATTTTTAAGAAAAGAAGTTGAATAAATGGAAATGATAAAATAAGAAAGAATAAAAAAGGAAGTAAAGGTAAGACTTGAGAGAAGTAGCAAATGAAGTATCGTTAATGAAATGAAGTAAAATAAAAAACAATTAATTGGCCTCTCAAATTTTCTGATATTTGCAATTCGACCCCTCCTTTCACTCATCAAAATCCCCCCTCTCACCATCTCTTTCAACACACACTGTCTCTACAGTTGCTCGTGATTTTTCTCCCCACCAAAATCAAACAAAAACTTCCCAATTTAAATTTGTCTCAAACTCTGTACATGATGGAGTATTTTATGGGGGATTATGCTGAATTTTCGTCAGTGGATAATATTAATGGTAATGGTGCCCATTTTACGGTGGATGATTTACTGGATTTTTCCAAGGAGGACGTGGCGATGACCGACGCGTTTTTCGATACCTTGGCAGGAAATTCCGGTGATTCTTCGGCTGTCACCGCAGTCGACAGCTGTAATTCGTCGGTTTCTGGCGTTGGAGATGGCCAATTTAATGGAAACGTTAGCTGCCGCAGCTTCAACGACTCTCAATTATCCGGCGATGAACTCTGTGTTCCGGTGAGTTCGATCGTAATTTCTATAATTGTTATGAATTGTCGAAATAATTTTAAATTTTCGTGTAATAATTTTATGCATGGAACACCTCGAGGCGTGTGCCTCTGCTTTTTCTTTTTACTCACCGACACTATAGTGCTTACTGTTCTTTTGTAACAAAAAGTGAATTCCCAAAAATAATTGTGAATAAGTCAATTTCTGTTATGAAATTTGTATTTTCTATGTTTAGTAGCTTGGAATTTGAAGTATTCAATCCTATTTTTGAATATGAATAGTCGAATTTCGCTGTTGAAATTAACTTTTTCCATGTGTGTTTAGCATGAAATCAAAATTCAGAAAAATGACGTTTAGTTGCTTCACTAAAAAATGAATTGATTTTTTTTGAATTTTCCGATTATATTCTGTGAACAGTACGATGATCTAGCTGAGCTGGAATGGCTTTCAAATTTTGTGGAGGAATCATTCTCAAGCGACGATGTCCACAACCTCCACTTTATTCCGACACACACCGCCGCGGAGCCCACCCCAACTTCCTCCTCCGCCACCACAATTTCAGTCTCTCCGATCAACCATTCACCGCCGCCGCCTATTTTCCCCTCCGATGTCTCCGTCCCAGGCAAAGCTCGCAGCAAGCGCTCTCGGGCAGCCCCCTGTGACTGGTCCTCCCGCCTCCTACTCCTCTCTGCCCCACCTTCCTCCCCCTCCTACACTCACTACAATAGTATCAACACAAACACAGACCCCAACCCCAAGGCCATGAAAACGACGCCGACTAAGAAAAGAGAGCCCACCGAAACCCCAGGCCGGAAATGTCTGCATTGTGCCTCAGAGAAAACTCCACAGTGGAGAACCGGCCCATTGGGCCCAAAAACTTTATGCAACGCTTGCGGGGTCCGATACAAATCGGGTCGGCTCGTACCCGAATACCGACCAGCCGCCAGCCCGACTTTTATATCCACCAAGCACTCGAATTCCCACCGGAAAGTTGTGGAGCTCCGGCGACAAAAGGAGCTGCAGATGCAACAGCACCAGCAGCAGCTGCTTAGTCAAACATCAATTTTCAACATATCCAACGGCTGTGATGATTTCCTCATTCATCATCCCAGTAGTGCCAATGGTCCTGGTTTCAAGCACGTGATCTAGTGTAGTGGATACTAATTTTAGCGTTTTAAAATAACCAGTGACAACCCCATTTTTCTAATTCACTACTACAGTTTAGAGATTTGAATTTGGAGGAAAAATGAATTTCAAAGAGAAGTTACTCCAAATGGAGGGAGAAAATAGTCAATTCAATTGTAGAAGTTGTATGCTTTTTATGAAGTCCTACTTTCTGTTACCACTTACTACTAATTTACTTTTGTTGAATTATGCTTAGTAATAAATTCAGCAATTAATTTTAACTATAATTTTTAACCATAAACTTTATTAAGATCTACTAAAACTTTAATTCTTATCTACCCCACACATGGGCGTAGTTTTAACTCAACTTTTGGTGCAAAAAGTGCATTGAGTAAATTTTTAATTTGAATTAAGCAATTTGTTTAATGTTGATTGACAAACATTGTTGACAATGTTCGAGGGGGCAAAATCCAGGCCAATGATTTAAAAAACAGTTCTTGACAATTTTAAAAATTAATGAATGTGATGATGCCAACAAAGGTTGCCATCCATGATTTGTGTAAATAAAACTGTACAAATAGCATGATTGAAATGATTGGAAGGAAATTTAAAAAAAAAATAAAAATCGTCAAATGACAAACTTGATGTACACCAACCAAGGTGTACCCAAGCATGATTATTTTTTTTCCTTCTTATAAAAGAAAAGATGATGAATATTTGTTGGAGATGGGTTATGAGTAAAGTGGAATTGGTGCAAAGCTCACATTGAGGAAAGGTGGGGCAAGATGGGTGTCCATATCTTTAAAGTTTGGGAATATGCACATGGTTTTGGTCGTTAATTCAATTGTGAATTTTTGGGATTTTCCTTTTTATCTATAAATATAAACTTTCTATCTATACAAAAATCGTTTTTGAAATTGTAGCATGTTCATCATCGTACATGAGATGAGACTTTTTATAGGGCCACTATCAAAATTAGCGTCACAAGAAAATAAATTAGTTGATCGAGCACTCTATTTCAATCAATGGATGAATAGTGAAGATTTTCATTTGGAGGGGGTGGGGGGAGGGGGGGTTGTGGTATTTGTGCACATAATTGATTCTTTTTTATTTATATTTTGTGATTTTAAGGATAAGGGAAATTAGCATGTGGTGTGTTCCAAATGGAGGGGCAGAATTTTTGTGGCCCACATGGGTTGTAACATATGACAAAGGATTAAATTCGGGGATTAGTGGACCACCTTGAACTAATCATCATTATAATAAAATATTTATAAAAGTAAACGTCCAGCATGGATTTCAGTGAGTACTTGACCTAATTAATTTGGGATTTATAGAGTGAAAGAGAATTTAAGAACATCGTATGGTGTACGAAGTACACTTGCGTCGAATTGCGGTTAGGATCAAATATTGGATAATTTCGAGATAAACTGTCTAAGTAAATAAAGTCAATTTTTTGGGTTGCAATAAAAATTTGAAGGCATGCCCCAGAAATCTGCATTACAGATTTTTAGTGCACTTTAATAGGATTTTTAATTAATTTAGTAAGATTTATTGAAATAAAGTATACAAAAAGTAAGCATTTAGATTACGCATTTATTTGGTATGGTTTAAATTTTGATTTTAATCATGTATTTAATGAAATTAACAACTTTTATCAAATTCTCAATAATATATTTCATCAACACTTATCAAAATCTAATAATATAATTTTTTAGCTACACCAAATTTGTATAGGTATAACCTCTCTCTCTCTCTCTCTCTCTCTCTCTCTCTCTCTCTCTCTCTCTCTCTCATGTCGGAATTAAGGTGTTTATTGGTTAAGGATTCACAAATATCATTGCGGCATTTGATTGTGAATTTTTGAATCATATTGGTTAAAATTCCATTAATCCTTGAAAATAAATATGGGACAAGCTACTTATGAATGTAACCAAAATTAATGTTACTATGGCTAGACTAACAAATACAGGTTCGGAAGTGATTTACGGGTCACACCAATATGTGAATCCAGCTAGCTTCTCTTGAATGCAATAATGTGGTATGAAACTCTTATTCTAATCAAGTGCCATCCAAACACAACTAATTTTGAACAAAGCTTTTCCTAAAATAGATAGAAGGTGGTCATTGGTCCGACTCAAGCAACTTGAGTCCCATAATCACTCCTTGAATAGTCAACTATCGACCATGTATAATACATATTAGGCCTGATCAACTGTCCATCCTATCTTCTCTATGTTTGACAGCGCCTCTTTATCTCGGCAGTCTTTTAGTGATATGTTTCGGTCATCTTTCCCATTATTTAAACAAAGCGAGTTATGATTTAGGTCCAAGAAACTATTTATATTATTGATATCAATATCATATTATGAGCACAATTAGGGGTGGGAAGTGGGGCAAGTCACGAGCGCAAGCCGAGCAACAAAGGACTTCTGTGAGCCGTGTTGACCTAAGGGTTGATTTTAACTTTAAAGTTTTGATCATAACAAATAAGTTTATCTTAGCTACTAACAATTGAATTCAAGTAATCATAGTCGTCAAAGCATTCAATGATAAATCGATCGATCGTCGTAAAAAAATCAAAATCAAGACTATCATTACAAATCAGACTCTCAAGGAAGGTCAAGATCGAAATCAAGTCTTTCAAGCATTCAAGACAAGAGTTTAAAAGACATACTTATAAGAAAGATTAAGACGAGAGTCAAAGAGTCAAATTTCAAAGATATATCGAAGACTAGACTTTTTAGGTTAAATGTAAATGTAATAATACTTTATTCTTTAAAGATGAATGATAAAAGTTCAAAAATCATTTCATGCACTAAAAATTATTTTGATTATCACCTGCATAAAATGTTTTAATCAAAGGTAAGATTGATTTTCAAAATGATATTTGAATTTTGATCATAATTCTAAAATATCATTTATCCTTAAAAAAACTAGTTGAAAACACTTTCCAAAGTTTCGCCTTTTTCAAAACATTTGAATCGGACGAAAAAGTGGCCAAATCAGGAAAATCAGTTTGACGAATTGGTTGATCGTGTCATCCGGTTGATTGAAAATATAATGATTCAAATTTTGACTATTTTGACTTCTGACCCTTTGGTTAATTGTTTGTTGTTTTGTTGCGTTCGAGACGACATGTAGCACTTGGCAAAAATCTCTTCCAAATACAAAAACCTTTCTACCAAATGATTTTGAGTTTCCAAGATACCTTTTAGAGTTCTATCAATGGTTTCTATTATATTTTTGTTGGCCATTAGCGCTTCATCTCATATCATGAACTTTGCTTGTACAATCAATTCAACTGTAGTACTTTGCTTTGTTGGTCATAATTCACTTCCTTGTATGTTGTTCTTTTTATCACTACTTCACACACTATAAAGATATATAAAAGCTTATTTACTAGAGTATAACATGCAATCCTAACATTTTTCATTTATATGCAATACCTGATGTTTACTGAAAGACATAAATCTAAATCCAATCCACTTTAATTTTTGCGTAAGCGAAAGATTTAGAGAAAATTAAGTATCTTCATTCCTTATCGACAGATATGATAGACCCTCATCTACCCGATTGGAAAAAAAACTTCACCCTATTTGATTTAAATTTTGTTAAAAATAAATAAAATATGTTGTTAAAGATTATTACGGTTCACATACACTACAACAAAAAATGATCTATTGCAATACTAAAAATGCAACATTCATTAATTGAGTGTTGCTAAGTGGATCTATTGCAACATTTTAACAAGTGAATGTCGCCCTTAGTTAACATAATCGAGTTTTGGCAATATTTTTTAGATGAATGTTGCTAATGTTACCCTTTGCAACGTTCATTGAATGTCGCGAAAATTTTCATTTTTTGCAATATTTATTGAATGTTGTTAAAATATGGTTTTACAACAACGTTCGGTGCATGTTGCTAAAACTCATAATATATAGCCTTTTGTAACGTTCACTAACTGTTGTAAAAAGTTTCACTTTTGCAACATTTGTTAAACGTTGCTAAAAGTTTCATTTTTTTGCAATGTTTAATGACTGTTGCAAAATATTTACTTCTTTGCAATAGTTACTAAATGGTGCGAAAATATTTGAAAAGTTTTACTTTTTGCAATGTTCGTTAAACGTTGTGAAAAGTAGTCCATGACTCACAACCCAACCAAAATTAACCCAGCCCAAAAAAACAAAACAAAACCTACTTCCTTTTGTATTTTTCATCAAAGCCCTAATGAAGCTTCCAAAAATTGCGCATCCACCCTATAAATCACGACATTCTTCTCCGATTGCAGCAAGGCATCGCCACCAGCGATGATGAAGAGCGCGAGGTATCCACCAGCGACGAAAAAGAGCGCGAGGTATCCACGCTACATATTTTTTCGGGTCATACACAAATGAGCCCCATGCCTCTCGAAGAATTCAGACCTCTCTCAGTATCCTCAAATCAAACAATTTTTTGGCCTGACCCCTTTGTTTTCCTCATGAATGTATATAAATTATTAAAATGTTGTATTTACCCTTAATGACATTTTCTGATGTTATACCCAAATTGGTTCGGTTAATTCTGCAATTAGGTTTCATAGCTAACTTGGTGAAACGGTTCATCTTGCAGATCATAATACGATGTAGAGGAGAAGTAGACGATGATAAGAAAAATACTATTGTAGTTTAGTTACTCTGTCTCGATGCGGTTGATCCTCATCCTACTAAGGTATGTTTGCTTGGGTCTTGTTGCTGTATCATGTATTCAGGATTTAATTTTTTACCAATATTGATAATTCACTATTTAGTACTTCCAAATAGATATACAAAATATTCTTTTTGCTGGCTATTATATATTTTGGACAATACAATTGTAATACTAGCTTGATGTCATTTCTCTGCATTTAAGGTTTATAAGTATGAACTGAGCAGGGTGGATTCTTCATGTCGAGGAAGTGCAATTTGTCAGTAGTTTTTAAGTGAAATGATAGAGCACATAACCTGTGAAAAATAATGAAAATAATATTCCTGCAGCAAAATTTA